CTGCTCAGCAGCTGGGCCCAGGGCCCCTCAAGGTGATCCTGGAACCTTCTGGATCCCCCCCCTTCCCCCCCCCCATTGTGGCTCTGGGTCTCTAAGGAGCTGCTCGTGCCCCTCGCAGTGACGCTGGAGCCCTCGGGGTCCTCGTGGCCCTGAAGCCCCTCGCAGTGTTGTAGGTGGCCTCATGGCAGCCCTTTATCATGGCATGGTGGGAGTCAGAGGCTGCAGTTTGGGGCCGTGGTCCTGAGTCATTGCGTGTGACCAACCTGTGCCCCAGAGAGCTGCCAGGCTGAGCTGGTAAACCAGAAGGCTCTGAATCATGCACTGGTTTTATTTCATAGCGGTGGGTTATGGTCTTCACGCTCCTGGGCATCCCTCTGGCCAAGGGCGCCAGCCGTGGCTTGTGCCTTAGGCAGGCTGGTAACGTAAGGTAGCCCTTTAAAACTGAAATGGAGGGTATTTAACTGATGCTCTGATCTCTGTTTCGCACTGGCTGATCAGCTGGTACGTGATGGGTTGTGCTGCTGCTCTTGCAAAGAGGATGCAGCCTCGAGCGCTGGGGTTGGGGCTGAGGCTGTAAGCCCTGGTTGCTCTACTCCTTGCCCTCATTGCATGCTGCTGTTCTGAATCACTGAAAGGTAATATTCATGTTGTTAAATATGAGGTGCTTTGCCTTGTATAAGTTAGAATCAGTCCTCATGGCTTTTTCTTTACAGGAGATGATTTCTATATCACAGCAATTTCCCCATTAGCAGAGCTCAAAGGTCCTAAAGACCTCTTTGCTAGCCCAGTAGTGCTTGCAGGAGAGAATAATTCTTTGCTTTTCCAGCAATGCACACGGATGGCAGAGCTGTCTGCATGCCCCCATCTTTCAGTGCTGCATCGGGTGAGCAGGTGCCTTGGTTTATATAGTCCTGTGCAAAGCAACCGAGACCAGACGTGTGGACTGCCCACGGGGCAGTGTGGTTTACGTCCATGTTCCGTGAAGTTTGTACATCTGTCAGGTTTATGCTCTTCCCCAGCATAAAGGACATGTAATTACAAAATACACAAAGCAAATTCAGTCCCTGGAGGCTGAAGTTCTCTGTTTACCACTAGCCTCAAGGTACACAGCAGTAGAGCAGACGGGCTCTGCTTCTTTGTGTTTGCCTCTACGTTCCTGTTAATGCTTTTGACTTCCTGGACATTGTCTAGGCATCTGTCTGCAGAGATCCAGTCACGCTGTGAGCTACAGGACGTTCTTTGTGGCTGCTAGCAAAGGCTGAGGATTGGTGTACTTTGGTACCCTCTCTAAACTGAGATCATCTCTCCTTCCTTCTTTATACTTTCATTTGAACTGTAATGTTACAGTGGCCTGAATTAATAGATGCAATTCTTCCTAGAAAAAGAAGTGCATCTGGTGTCCAGGGGGCATGACCGCTCGATCTCATGCTCCTGAATTGCTGCTGCTTGAAGGGTTTTCCTTCTTTGGGGTGGTTTGTATTTGTTCCAGATTCGTTGGGTTGGTTTTGTGTGGGAACACCAAATGACAGAGCTGGCGAGGGGCACACATAGTTCCTGTTTGTGGGAGAGCGTCCCTTCCAGGAAATGACAGTTTGGTAAGCCCCAAAGTGGACCTGCTTCCCATGTGTGTCAGCAGCAAGTATGCTGGTGAGTGCAGTGGGACAGCATTTGGTCACTCCCCAAACACGTGTGGGTACAGAGTGGTTTTGGCCATGGCTGTAAGTCATGAGGGAGCTCCAAATGCCGTGTTGCAGGAGGGATTGACAGTGTGTGAGGGCTTCGTTGCATTTCATCGCTTGCCTCCTGGGGATCTGGGGTTACCTGGCTAGGTGCAGTGTGTGGCTTTTGTCAGCCTTGGGCTGCACAAGGCTTGGTTCAGAGCTGATCCCTGGGTTATGCCTAATGTCGTTCATCTGTGCATGGCCAGTGTAGCACTGAGACTGTCATCAGAGACCATCATCTTAAAGAATTGTGTTTGCCAGTCCGTGTGCCTCTTGTTCCCTTCCTTCTCTCACCTCTGACTTTGACACTTACTTTGAAGTTCTTGGTCTTTAGTGTGTAGTAATACTTAGTATTAATTTCTTCCCATTTTCTGTTCCCATTTTCCAGAGTAAGGAGAAGCCACCGGTCCCCTGTTGAATCCCTGGCTTTTGACAATGCCTTCCTCTGCCACTGTGCCAAGTGGTGTGGGAAAACTGAAACACCCATCAGTGTTACCTACAAGGTTCTTCCTTGCAGTGAAAACTGGAGAGCAGTTATAGCAAATGCTCCCCTGGATCCTAGTTGTGTATTGGCATTTCTGTCTTTGGACAGGTTAGCATCATTCAGGATGTGTTAAGAGCTGATCATTGGCTCCACTTCAGAAATAAATCAGTCTTTTCTTGGAGGATCTGTTCTAGAAATTGGAGGTTTTCCCCCTGGAACATGGAGGAATAGTCATTCTGAAAACTAACAACTTCTGTTTCCAGGTTCTTACATGGTCATCTTCACTGTACTGTGATCACCTTTTAGAATGCAGGGAGACACACACTAGCACTGTCACGCAGCATTTATCTTCCCCCATAGGTAAGGAGAAATTGGAGGAGTTTATTGCAATCTATTTGAGTATCTGCATTAGTGAAGGCACAACCAGGAATCAGCCTTGGATAAGAAGGAGGTGCCAAAATGTTATGGCCATTCTCCTGCAGAGTGAGTTGTGTGATTTATGGACGGGAGACACCAACATCATGGTTCACAGCAGAGCTGTGACCTGCAGCCCTTGTTCTGAGGCTTTCACCAGCTGAGGCATCCTGGGGTAAAACTCCTGAGGTCTCCAAGTGACTCTCCCTAATGAGGGAATGTGTTTTCCTGGCTGCTCCGGTTGATTTTTGGATCTGTCGTGCTGCATACTTTTTATGACATGTTAGGAATGTGCTTGCATTGGGGAGTATCAGCTCCTCACTGCTTTACTTCCTACTGGTTAGCAGAACTCTGGTATTAAACAGCAAAGGGGGAAGGAGATCTGAAATTCTACCAGCAGAGATCCTGTCCTGTCAACTCCTGTAACTTCTTATCCTCTTTCTTCTGAGTATGTATGGTCTAATCTCCATTTGTTTGTTGGAATCATACAAACATCTTATCTGAACTGTTCTCACCCTTGGTGACCCAGGGAAGCTGTGAATGCCCCATCCCTGGCAGTATTCAAGGCCAGGTTGGACAGAGCCTTGGGTGCCATGGTTTAGTGTGAGGTGTCCCTGGCCATGGCAGGGGGGTTGGAACTGGGTGATCTTAAGGTCCCTTCAAACCCAAACTATTCTATAATTCTGTGACATCTGTGTCCTTTATTTGTTGTAGCAAACAGCTTAGTCTTTGGGAATGTTTTGTGTAGCCCAAGTTAGGAACTCATTTTAGCTTCTAAATGCAATGCATGGCCTGTCGTACAGCAGGTCAGACAAGGTAATTTGCTGTTCCTTCCTGACTCTGGATGCCATAAAGTTTGTTCACTGTGTCAATAGACTTGAAAGGCCTCTTCCCTCAGATTACTTCGGGTATCACCATTCCCCTCTGTGTTTCTCTGCTGTGAAGTGTACCTCTCTGCATGATGGAAATGGCTCCGGCTCAGCAGAGACATTACTTCCCTTCTGCTGCTGTGTCATCAGATGCCTCTACAGAAATATCCTTGACTGTTCTTATTTTCAGTGCTTCTGTTTCCTCCTTTTTCCCCAACTGTGGCAGATTCTAGGCCAAGCAATCATGCTTTGATCAGACTTTCTCTTCACTGAGTCTCTGCTCAACCTGCCTGTAACCAGCTTCAGGCTTACTCTTGTCAAGGAAAGTCATGAGCCTTCATCTGAATCGTGCTTGCACTGATACTTCTTCAAAAGTCATGGGGAAAAAAGGTTGGTTTTGCAGCGTGCTGCATGGAGACATCCTTCTGTTGAGGTCCATTCCTGCTGCCAAGCTTGCAGCTCGGTGCAGGGTGTGATTAATGAGTCCACCTGCGAGCCCATTGTTCTTGAACCGCAAACCCAATGCGTTGCGAAATGCAGTCTCAGTTCTGTACCTATAGAGGTGCACATTTGGTGAATTGGCAGAATTTACCGTTCCCAAAGATTGATCCCTGAGATGGTAACGTTCCTTGGGGAATAAAAATAACACCCTCAAAAGATGTATTTTAAAGGTGATAAAATGGTCAGGGGAGAGAGTCAGGGTTGTGGAAGTACCATCACTGTATGTATAGTATTTCACTTTCTAATGTTTAAGGTAACCCGAAGTTTAACCTTTAACTGTGAATTCTCTGGTCTAGAAATACTCATTCTTTTTAGCCGCCTTCACCATAAGCTTGCAGAATGGGTCAGGAATTGAAGAGCTAGGACACAGATTTCTGTTTGGTTTGGTTTTCACAGTGGAGCAGTGAAGTGAGGACTCCATGTGCAGCCTGTCAGACACATCCAGCCCAGGGAGGAAGTGCCCTGGACAGTTCCTTGGAGTTACTGCATGGAGGAGAGAGTTCCGTTGTCTTGCACAAATGGCGCGTGTAATTTCTGCTATCTCAAATCTCATCTTGCTCATTTTACAATGCAGTTTGGCTGCCCTTCCAATCCATAATGAACTTGATCTCCTTTACCCTTAATTCTGTAGGGAAATTCCCTCCTTCTCCTTATTCTTTCAGTGAGCACAAGAAGAGAAAGGACAAATCTCTGCTGAAAGCCCCCTGATAGATCACGGTTTTTTTAAACGCTGCTGAGCATTGCTGGCTTTTTGACCACATTCCTGAAAAATAAACCTCTGTCTCCCTTGTGATTTACAGCTCTCAGAGAAAGACAAGCCCTATGTGGATATCCAGGGCCTGACAGCCTCCACCATGGAAATCCTGCTGGACTTTGTGTATACAGAAACTGTTCACGTGACAGTAGAAAACGTCCAAGAGCTGCTCCCAGCGGCGTGTCTGCTCCAGCTGAAAGGTAATTTCCAAGGATCAGCACAAATTGCACACAGTTGGTGCTGTTTAGAGATCTGCTTTGCCTGACCTTCTGGAAATGGAAGGCAGGTTGTGGGTGGCATGATATTTATAAATGCTGACGTCAAACGTGGTCTGTTGTCTTGTGCGCTGTGGTCTCTTTGGTAGAGGAGCTGACTTGGGTGGAAAAAGAAGATGATAAACCAGGTTATTGTTCCATGCTTTGGGATACTGTGTTTCTGCATGAGAATTCCCAAGAGGAATTGTGGGCTGTATAGCACGTAAATGTTTCAATCAACTTAAAATAATAAGCAAATCCTAGATGTCATTTGGTATGTCTGGGTTGTTAACAGGCTGGTTGATGTCGTTGCACGTGCATCTATGGAGATATCCCACACAGGTATCCCAAATCCCAGGCAACTATCAAGAAGACGTTGAAGAAAACCTAGAAATCTGGTGGCCGTATCCACTGGCATTACATGGGGTTTGTGTAGAAGCCATGAAGCTGAGTACAGCTGACATTTGAGGCTCTTCCTAATACCAGATTTAGTTAAGTTTTGCGTCCAATAGAATAGCCAGGGATCAAAACAGCCCCGACACGTGGTCCCTCCAAAGGAATATTTGCATATGTGTTCTTGTAGTGTTTTTAAGCTTGTTGTTTGAGTTGGATTTTCATTCTTGTTTAGAACTTTCTTTTCTGAAGCCCTTTCCAAAGCAGTGGACTGGGAGTAAGCATGCAGTGCTCATTCACCCCTCCAATTTTCCGTAGGTGTGAAACAAGCTTGCTGTGAGTTTCTAGAAAGCCAGCTGGATCCATCAAATTGTTTGGGCATTCGGGATTTTGCTGAGACACACAATTGTGTTGATCTAATGCAAGCTGCAGAGGTCTTCAGCCAGAAACATTTTCCAGAGGTGGTTCAGCATGAAGAGTTTATCCTCTTAAATCAAGAAGAGGTTGAAAAGCTCATCAAGTGTGATGAAATTCAGGTAAAACCTGAACAGTACCATTACTATGCAAAGCATTGAAGTGAAATGTTGAAACCAGTGAGGAATTAGTCCATATTTCTCGGGTGGACTTCTCATACAGCTCTTGAATTTGAAAGTTCATTTCCACAAGTGTTTCTTGCGAGTAAGACATCACAATTAGTCACCTCTGCAGAGCTGTTGTGCCCTTGTCTCCACCTTTCCCTGGAGGAGCTTTCAGAGGTTACAGAGATGTCTCAATGCCTACATTTCAGAAATACTCCCAAGACTTTAACTTCTATGTGTAGGTCTTTGCATGTTACTCAGCAGCACAAGCAATGCATTTGTCATCCCAGGCATTCGGGTGTCCTCTGCTTTTAGAGCAGCAGAATGCGTGATGGCACCGGCCCCTCGGGCTCTTCAGGAAGTTAGATGCAGATTTAGTTCCTTTCAAGTTGGTTTTTGGAGGATTTTCTCTTGGGCTGGAACCTGTCAAGTGCTTTTTCCAGATGTCTTACGAATAAATTGAACATTCCTCAGGAATGGGGAGGGGGCTTTTAATTGAGGTAGACTTTGTAGAGCATTGATGTTTGCTTCGGTTCTAAAAGAAGCGATTGGAGCAAACACTGTTCAGAGTTCCCAGTAACATGAACTGTTAGAAGCAAACCAGTGTAAGTGATATCTTTGTGGAATTCCTGAAAAGCCAGTACAGGGTTAGCCAGGAGAGTGTTCCTGTTGTATGCCTGGAAAGTCTGCCTTGAAAGTGGCCTTCAGCCAAGCTGACATCCTCTTGCTAATAAACCTGCTTGAGAAAGAGCATGTGAGAGAGCAGTGAAAGACCGTGGCGCAGGCTGAGGTCAGCAGTGGAGGAAGGCTGAGTGTGTTTGGGGCTTAACAAGCCGCAGCTTTAATGCTGTGAAGGTCTGAGCTTATGTGGGTTGTGCTGAGTCCTGACATAACACTTCCGGACAGTGCAGGGGAAATAATGAGGAACTTCAGAACAACGCAGCCAAACTGATCGGATGATCTGCACAGGCAAAGTAAAATCCATTGTGGATTGGAAGGAGTGAGTCAGGCCTTGCAGGCACCCCGTGAGGTGTGTGTTCCTTCTAATGCCTTAGCTGTTGCTGTGGCAGTGCAGAGGTGATGTGCTGTGGCAGAGGGTACTGAGGGAGCACCCTCGCAAAATCCCCTGGCTGGGTGAGAAATGCAGTGGCAGGTCCTGACGGGGACACTGTGTGCAGTGTTCCATATCGTGTCTCAGAAAAGAAATGATTTCATGGGCAACGAAACCTTGAAATACATCAGAGAACAGTTGAGGAGGGAAGAAAACGATGTGGGGTTGTTGCATGTAAGGAGGAAGTGGGAGAAATGGGAAATACTGAAGTACTCTGCTCTCCTTTTGTGAGCTCTAATTGGCCTTCCCCTGTAATTCAGATAGAAAGAGGCCATGTCAGATTACACCGTAACAAATTAAATCAGTGGCTTGGAAGAATTGAGCCACAGAGGTGGCTCCCTGCTTCAGAGCATTTGGCAACAGACAGCTTCAAACTGAACCTCAGAGTGGACCCGTCATGTATTGGTGGGAAGGCTCAATTCTCTTATTACAGTATTTCCTTTTACTTCGTATTTAATAGCAGTTAACAGACATCATGATAATAAATTCATGGCTCATTTGCTTTTACATTTGGTGATCTGAGGATGTGCAAAAAGAAAACCAAGCCTAAATAATATATTACAGAGCTTTTTACAGGTTTTAGCTCTTGGTATTCACAGATATCCAGAGCACCGGAGGTTCTCTAAAAGCATCAGATTGAGATGGTTTAGTCAGTATGATCTCTGGCCGTAGTGTAAGCACCAGCATGTGGTGGTCTTAAATGGAGAAAGAAATAAACTAGTCACAGAATAAAATAAACAGGAGAAATAAACAGTAACATCCATGCCCTGGGGTTCTCCCCTCTGAAATCCAGTTGTTCATGGTTCCTTAAATGCGGATTAAATATTAAAGAAGCCTTAAAGTCAATGGGGATGGCTTGAGCATTAAAGGGGCAGTGTGTGGGCATGGGCCTGGAGGCCAAGCAAGACCCTGCTCCATATAAATGAATCATGGTTCTGATCACCTTTATGGTAGAGCTTTGCATTGTGCAGGGCCATAACTCCTGCTCCAGTGAGAACTTGGGGGAGCTGCCCTGTGAGTTACTGCACTCCCTCAGCAGTGAGTGGTGGCTCCCAGCTTCTGGCTCTGCTGCATGCAGACCATGCAGCTCCCTTCTGTGGCACTCGTGGTGCCAGCCATTGGTTAGGGCTGTAGGGAAAAACTGCAGTTTTAAGGAAAAGAAAATGAGGGAATTTCATAGGGCTTGTAAATGCAGCTCATGGGAATTCCCACAACAGACTCTTCCTTGAAACATCATGCTCTCTTGCTAGCCATGAAGTAGCATCAGCAGCCTGGAAGCTGTCAGGTCCATGGCAGCAGCTGAAGTGCTGCCCTGCAGTCTGACCAGTGTGTGCCTCCTCTTCCCAGGTGGACTCTGAAGAGCCGGTTTTTGAGGCAGTTATCAACTGGGTGAAGCACTCGAAGAAGGAGCGGGAGGCGTCGCTGCCCGAGCTGCTGCAGTACGTGCGAATGCCGCTGCTCACCCCCCGCTACATCACAGACGTCATCGACACCGAGGTACCCGCACCCAGGCACAGAGCAGCATCCACGTGTCATTGCCCTGCTCCCTGGTTAGGCTCCAGCTGTCCTAGCAGAACACGTTAGGAGCTGCTTTCTCTACTGATGCTTTTTGATGCTGACACTGTGGAGTTGGCCCTTTCAGCTGGAGTGCCCACTGGTTTGCTGTTCGCTGTGCCTGCAGTGGCAGCACCCTGGTTTTTAGCTGGGAGGGCACCCCATCGGAGCAATTAGTTGTCTCCTCTGATGTATGTAGCATCTTTCTGTTGTTATCCCTTATAGTGCTTTCTGCTCTTTATTCACAAGTGCTAGCAGGTCTCCTTCTCTAGGCTGAAAGCTGTTGGCGTGCAATCCTGGGGAGGAATCAGGAGCTGGTTTAGGTCACCAGGAGCTGGTTTAGGTGCAGATGGCATGTACCTTTGAGTGAGGACAGCAGCTAAGGCCCAGGGCCAACACACAACTAAGAGCCATATCTAACACCGATGCTTTGTAGGGTTGGGGTGTTGCAGGGACAAACCAAAATGTAGATGATGATAGAATCATAGAATAGTTAGGGTTGGAAAGGACCTTAAGATCATCTAGGTCCAGCCCCCCTACCATGGGCAGGGACACCTCACACTAAACCATGGCACCCAGCGCCTCGTCCAACCTGGCCTTGAGCACTGCCAGGGATGGAGCATTCACAACCTCCCTGGGCAACCCATTCCAGTGCCTCACCACCCTCACAGAAAAGAACTTCTTCCTTAGATCCAATCTAAACTTCCCCTGTTTCAGTTTGAACCCATCACCCCTTGTCCTATCACTGCAGTCCCTAATGAAGAGTCCCTCCCCAGCATCCATATAGGCCCCCTTCAGATACTGGAAGCTGCTCTGAGGTCTCCACACAGCTTCTCTTCTCCAGGCTGACCAGCCCCAACTTTCTCAGCCTGTCTTCATATGGGAGGTGCTCCAGTCCCCTGATGATAAGAGATAATGAAGCTTTTGCAATGGAAACTTAACTCCAGACAGGAAGTGGTGCTGGGCCTGTGCAAGGTTTGACAGGAAGGCACAAAGAGGTTCAAACCAGCATTCTGTTTTGATGGTGATGTGAGGTGATCAGTGGTTACTAGCCCTTGTCACCTGACAAGTGCTGAATGTTCAATGACTGACTTCTCTACATGGAGAAATGGCTGATTTAGTAACATTCATCTCTGATGTGGTGGCCTTTTCAGATGTTCTTAAATAAGAGCAGCTAACAGGCCATTAAGTTCTGCTAGGGCTAGCATCTGTTCAATCAGATAGTTACGGTCCACAGTAAACTGAAACTGAAGCTAACGCAAAAGAGACTGGGGCCAAAACAACTAGATCTGTTCCAAAACCAGCCTAAGATGGTGTGCATACAGGACCTTAGCTTTCTTAGTGCATGCGATGGCCTCTCCAGCCTGGAAGTGACACACACTGGTGGGACACTGTCATCTCAGGGCAGCACAGAGAGGAGTGTTGGCCCTGTATGGCGTTATCTGCTCTGAGCACCCTGGCTGCCTTGCACAAGCACTGAGAACTTGTGAAAATAGATCTTAACTTACTCCAGCAGCCACATGTAGCACCAGACACCCAAAGGGGACTGAACGCTGCACATGGAGCAGAGGTTGGTCCAGGCCCTCAGCCAGGAAGGGAATTACATGGCATTATGCAGGGAGATGAGCCTGTCCTTGGGCTGCAGCTTCTTTGAAAGAAGACCTTACTATTGCTGTTGTTGCTTCATAGTTACACTTCCCATGTGCCCATGGATCAAGCTAATACATCCAGCTGAGCTGCTTCATTGTGCTGTGCTCCTTGTTTCTTCTTTGGTGGCAGGTATATACTGAGAGTTGATTATGTAGGGCCCATCCAGCCAAGCTGATTTCAGGTGTGGTTTCACTGCCAGTCCTCCTTTTCAGGTGTACTTCTAGTGGCTTTAAATGTAGCAGAAGTGGCTTTTCCTTCGTTTTCCAGTATAGTTATTTTCATTATGGAACCTGCAGTGCCAGACTTTGTGTGAGAATTGACCCATAACTTTCCAGCTGCAGTCCAGTCTTCAGCTGCCTTTGCATTTCACTGTATGCAGTATTTGCACAGTGACACTACCAGCAACAGCCTGCACACAAGTCGTTTTTATGCTGTCTGAACTGATGAGAATTGGCTTTAGGACAGCGCTTCTGAGGGATCTTAAAATACCTCCCATGTACCAGTGACTCATGTTTCTCCTCAGCCATTTATACGATGCAGTCTGCAGTGCAGAGACCTCGTAGATGAAGCTAAGAAATTTCACCTTCGGCCCGAGCTCCGGAGTCAGATGCAAGGACCTAGGACAAGAGCACGTCTAGGTGAGCAGCAAAGGAAAGGTCACTGCAAAGGTGTGGGGCACCGGCAGGTATTGTGTTATACACCATGCCTGGTGCCTTGTGATTGTGCTGAAGTGCTTCACAGCAGTAACTTGTCAATGCACAGTCCCCAGTGGTACAGAAAGGGGCCTGGAGCAAAGGACAGAGGCGTGTTTGTTTTCAGAGCACACTTGCTTAGCAGCCATGTGGGGACTGCTTGGTTGCCTTTAATCCCAGGCCTCTGAAATCCCAGTTTCCTGGGTTGCTGGTGCCTCCAGATAGGTCTGTCTCGGTGTGCAGCTGTCCAAGAAGTATGGAAGGAGTTTCTTTCTGTCTATCAGTGTCAGAAACAAGAAGAGCTGTGAGGTGAGAGGCAGTTGTGTTACACTGAAGATTCATTTTCAGCAGAGAATCTGAGAGGAGAAAGCCCAGGGAGGGAGATGGAGAGATCCCCCTTTCCCTGCAGGGGTACTGCATGTCTCCTGGTTTGGTGGGAACATCCTCCATTGGTGTCAGTGACAGCTCAGCTCAAGCTGTCATTTTAGAAAGACAAATTTCATTTTATTCTAGTTGAAATGCTTCCTCTGATAAAGGGGACATCCCAAAACTGGTTTATTGTTTAACTGTGCAGGTAAAAACTCTTGCATCTTAGTGCTCAGGTTCATCTTCTGGATTCAGCCCTACCTTTTTTAACTGATTCCATACCATCTACTGTCAGCAATGCTCTCGCCATGTGTCACCTATAAACTCTGATCAAGTTGTGTATTAACTTTCTATGGGAGAGACTGAAATGATTGCACTTCAGCTGGCCCAGGAGATCCAGGGGATGCTCATCAGGTTTTATGGCTATGATAGAAGCCTACCTTCAAGGCAGTCATTACAAGGGAAGTTAAAGCTCCTCAGGTCACAAGTGTTATTTAACAGTCACAGAGAAAATAAGAAAAACTCAGGGACCATCTTGGAGAAGAGAAAGGAAAGGGAAGGCCCCTCTGAAATAAAACACATAAGAATCAGCTTGACTGGCTTCTCAGTGAAATGGGGAACTAAGGTGCCATCTGGTCTGGATGTCACTTGTAAATGAGGGGAAAAGGCCTTGTTTAGTGAGGAGGCTGCAGGGAAGCAGCCATCCTCCTTCAGCTTTCATGGGATGGGAAGAGGTTTGGGAAAAACGGGGGAAAGAATACAAAGGAAATTACACCCAAGCCAATGTCAGCACCTAACTTAGCCAGCTTGTCTTCCCAAAGTGCCTCTAGTACTGGGAGGAACAGCCCTGGAGCAGAGAGCTCCTAAAACCTGAGTTAGTCCTGCTGTCATGCACCCTGGAAGAGTTTCTCTCTCTTCCCTGCTGAGGATAGAAGTGTCCATGTGCCCATAGCCAGGTTAGGTGCCTGCTTCAGAGTACTGATGAAACCAGGGATTTAGAGGCAGCTTGTCGCCCCAAGGAAGGAGGAGTGTTTCTTCAGGTGATTCCCTTTGGTTTGAAGGGATTGACTTGACTTTGCTCTCCCTCTTTGCTCTAGGAGCTAATGAAGTCCTGCTTGTGATCGGCGGCTTTGGCAGCCAGCAGTCACCTATTGATGTAGTGGAGAAATACGACCCGAAGACTCAGGAGTGGAGTTTCTTGCCAGTAAGGGACCATTTTTGACCACCACTGGCTGTGCTCAGGCACTGCTCCTGTAGCAGCAGCAATATAACATCCCTCATTGGGCTGTCCTTCGTGTTCTGCTTAGCATTTCTGCCATAAATCCTTTGGAGTTGCTGTGGTTTACACAGCGAATGCTGAAACCACATTTGGAGATCTGCTTAAATCAGTTTTGTGTGAGGGGTGGTTGTCATGTTTCTAATCAGATGAGCCTACAGAGAACCGCATTCTGTTGTGGGAGTGAGACTTCTCATGTTTCTTATTGAAGGGTTGTGAAGCTTTAAGGTTAGTGGTAATAATTGAAATGTCACTAGGAATAGGGTAAGTTCTTTCAGGCAGGTTGCAGGATCTCTCTGGTCCCATTGTTTCTGAGCATAATGGGGGATAGTATGGAAGAGAGAATTCCTGCACTGAGGAGTATTTTGGACTAAATTTAAAATCAGCTTTATCTGTGTGAAATGGTGGAGAGCTGCTGCTTCTTTAATATTGCTAATCCAGTGTCACTTGGGGGCCCAGAAGTCTGTTACGGTTTTGGAGGCTGAAAGCTTCAGGTATTCTGAGTCTCCACGTTTTTCCTATGAACAGTCTCTGCAGGGAGCCAGTGGGAGGCACACAAGCCTTCAAGATGCATCAAAGACTCAGTAGCAGCATAAATGACACCTCATGCAAAGCATTTCAGTGCAGAGAGACCTGACCATGAGAAGGGCGCATGGCAGAGGCAGAGGAGGGCAGGCACAGCCTCTGAAGGCTGTATCCTTTAAACCCAGCGTGCTGTTTGCCTCTGTGGTGGTGGGCTGGAGGAGCGGCGCTGCCCTCCCTGCACCCCTGGGGTCTCCTCTCCTTGACCTTTTTGTTCCTTCCCTGTTGCAGAGCATCACCCGTAAGAGGCGCTACGTTGCCACAGTGTCCCTGCACGATCGCATCTATGTGATCGGGGGCTACGACGGTCGCTCCCGGCTCAGCTCGGTGGAGTGCTTGGATTACACCTCAGATGAGGACGGTATCTGGTACTCCGTGGCTCCGATGAACGTACGGCGAGGCCTGGCAGGAGCCACCACCCTTGGAGGTACGTCCTGGTCACCAGGCTGAGAGGGCAGCACAGCTTGTGCCGTTCTCGTCCTGAAAGGCCCTGAGCTGGTGTGTGCAGAGGGGGCTGGCCCTGAGGGAGGAGGTGAGTCTGAAATGCTCATCAGCTGGAGGAGCAGTACAAGTGGGAAACTTGCCCACGTATCCCGAGAGCAGCTCTGCCTCCGCTTCGTTCTTACGGCGTGTGTCTGTGCATCAAGGGAAAGGAACGCTGGGATTACGGAGTGGGAAGCGCTCGGGGTGGTTGACGGTGTCGCGTGTTGCTGAGCACAGGACACCGAGTACAGCAGTAACCATCCAGCACCCGAGAGAGGCTGAAAGTGGAGCATCTGCAGGGAAGGATTCCTAGGACTCTGCGGAGGTGCTGATGTGCCAATAGCAAGAGGCAGGGTTTGGCCATGGCAGTGTTTCAGTGGGTTCTGAGGCATGAAAAATCTGACTGGAGGGTGCACATTCTCTTTCGTCATCAGAAAGAAGCAGATTTAAGGGCCAGATGGGTTTGTTGGTTGTTTGGCCTGTGAACAGGCTAACGCAGCGAGCTAGGGAGGGGAGCCTGGGTTTGCTTGGGCTCTAAATGTGCCAAGACCCGCAGTTGTTCCCGTATCCTGCAGTCCACGTTGTAGTTTTGCTCCATCTGTGAGGGCCTTCTTGCTCCCTGTGCGTGTTTGCTGCTTGACTCGCTGAGCCCAAGCCCTGTCCAACCTTGCAGACATGATCTATGTTTCCGGTGGGTTCGACGGCAGCCGGCGGCACACCAGTATGGAGCGCTACGACCCCAACATCGATCAGTGGAGTATGCTGGGAGACATGCAGACAGCGCGGGAAGGCGCGGGGCTTGTTGTAGCTAATGGAGTTATCTACTGCCTCGGTAGGTACCCGCAGGGCATTCTGCAAACACTTGCTGACAGTACAGTGCTGTCTGTGGTGTCATGTGCGGGTTAGAAGAGAAGGTTTTAACTGACACAGGGAATGCAGCCTGTTCTCCCTGTTCCCATTGCAATGGCTTAGACTGGAGCTGCCATATACCCGCAGTAAATGCTGTCAGAAGTAAATGGGACACGATCAGCCTACATTTGAGGGCAGCAGGGGGATGAGCGGTGCCAGCTGAGGTTTGCATGGACTGGGCTGTGGCTAAAATCATACAATCATAAAATGGTTTGGGTTGGAGAGGACCTTAAGGTCATCCAGTTCCAACCCCCTGCCATGGGCAGGGATGCCTCACACTAGACCATGTCACTCTGTCCAACCTGGCCTTAAGCACTGCCAGGGATGGGGCAGCCACAGCTTCTCTGGGCAGCCTGTACCAGTGCCTCAGCACCCTCACAGGGAAGAGCTTCTGCCTTAGATCTAACCTGAACTTCCCCTGTTTAATGCCCTAGAGATGAAGCACAGAGCCACAGGACAGAGGGTGCATTTGATTCACACAAAGCAATGGCAGCTGTAATGCTCCAGAGCTATATCCTGAGCCATACATTATCCTTTCTCCTTTCTGTAGCACTTGTTTCATTTGCAGAGGCTGTGAACAGAGTGCTGGAGGGCAAATCACTCTGAAGATGCACCCTCTGGGCCCAGTGCTATACCCACATTTACTGCAGCCCTGTTCCTGGGGAATCACTATTGGATATTGGACACTAGCTTATGGGGTTTACTTCCCTCTCCCAAATTGCTCTTCCTCATGCTGTCCCCAAGGCAAATGACAGCCTGGGGGACATCTGTTGTCCTCCATGCTGAAGGACCTTTGCTGAAGCTGCACAAAGAGATTTATTGGTATCCTCTTGTGAAACAGCTCTTTGAGACATCCCAGCCTACACCATGGAGCCTTCTGGCATCAGCTGGCAGCTGCAGCACAGACCCTGAGCCAGCACCAGGTCTGGAAGCTGAACATCTGCTTTAGCAGGACAGCATCGACACTGGCACCAGCACAGTGCTGACCTGGTCGTACTGGTGTGGAGAGCGATGCTCTGCCCAGCACGGCCGGAGCAGTGCAGGGGCAGAGCTCGCTCTGTGCTGGCTCCGGTCTGGCACTGCGAGCTGCAGGGATCCCTTTGCTCTGCCAGCCCCGGCATGCTGTGGGTTGTGCTGGTGCCAGTGCGATGCTGGGCTCAGGAGGAACCGGTGTTACTGCTCTCCACACAGAAAACATTGCCCAGAAGCCAGTGCCATGGTTTGCTCGTGTATTTTGTTTCAGGGGGCTACGATGGGCTGAACATCCTGAATTCTGTCGAGAGGTACGATCCCCACACTGGACACTGGACGAATGTCACCCCGATGGCCACTAAGCGCTCAGGTAAGAGCTTGAGGTCAAAACGTTTTGTGTTGTGCTGAGGAAGCTCGTGCTGGCTTGTTCTGCTGCCCTGGAGGACATTGACTGCTCCAAAGGGTGCTTTGGCTTTGAGAAGGGGTGATTTTAGGGCAGGACTTATCTTCCCAAGAGAAAAAGCTGATTTTTGTATGTGTGAAGTCTCCATCCCCTGCTAAGATGTGCATAGAGGAATGTGTTTGTGGGCGTATAGGTTACAGGGAGGGAGAGGAAGTCCTGTGTGACTTCCATAACTAGGAACGGTGCCCAGCATGGAGAAACATCAGCAAGGCAGAAAGTACAGACCATAGTGCAAGATAATGGGGTGGGCTGAGCTGGTTCTTGTCAGCTCTTGTTTCTCTTCGTCTCTTAGGGCAGATTCTGGAGGTAGGCCACCCCTCAGAAACCTTGGCCATGCTGCACTGCTAGATCCCACTTCCCTGCTTAGGCATTGGTCTTGTCCCTTCTCTCAGCCAAAGTCTTCCCCTCTGAAGCTGTCAGAGAGCTCGCTGGGACAGCCTGGCTGTTCCCAGCTGGTTTGGTGCTCTCAGCAAGAACAGACAGTGAAGGTGAGGTTGTGTTTAGTGGAACAGAACGTCTCTTATACCCTGTTTATGAAAGCAACAGATCAATGCCCAAGAGCTGCAGAGCATCTGGCTTGTTTCCTTCAGGATATTCATCAGTGCAATAGTTACACATTGGTGGTAACAGCTTGACAGGGTTTGCTCTGCTCTCGAGATGTAGGTCAAAACAGCAGCTGGTGTTGGCAGGAGCACCCAAGGCCATTAAGTGCCTTGTTCTCTCACCGTGTTCTTTGGTGCTTTACCTGAAGGGAGCTGCAGATGAGGAGCAGAGGTTGGCAGGGGGGGTTATTTGCTGCTGTTGTCATCAATTCCCAGCTGTATTATTGATTGCTGTTAGTCTGAGAACAGCTGCTCAGACAGATGGTTCAGCTACTTCCATCTCTGACTGCAACAGGCACCAGTTTTCATTTGCCTGCCTTCCAGAGGAGCCCTGGCAAAGAAATCCCTCCTCCAGCCTCGCAGGGAGCAGTCCTTGCTGCATGCTCTCAAGGGCTGGGTGACACCAGGGAGCTGTGATCACCAGAGAAACCTGTCTCTGTGGTGACAGAGTCCCAGCTGCAGCAGAACGAGCTTTGTGCTGGGCTGTTCAGGGAGTAGTTGGGTGGTTTTCAGCCAAGGTGAACACCCCACATTGCCAGTGCTGCCCCAGCTGCAGTGCTGTTCAGGCCCCCCTTATGCCAAAGATTCAGCAGCATTTGGTAGTTACAGGGTTTCAGGTATTGTATTGGAGGCAACAATAACAGAAGACACTGGGTTATGACAGCTCTCTTGTGGGAGATATAAGAAAATGTCCTCTGAAGAGGGAGGAACTGATCCAGTTCATCCTTGCAGCAGTGAGCCCGGGGCCCAGTGCTCCCAGTGTCACTCATGGCCCTGACTGTGCCGCCTTCTCTCTCTGTCTCTAGGGGCTGGAGTGGCTCTGCTGAATGACCACATTTACGTGGTGGGCGGGTTCGACGGGACGGCACATCTCTCCTCTGTGGAAGCCTATAACATCCGCACTGATTCCTGGACCACTGTAACGAGCATGACAACCCCGCGCTGCTACGTGGGGGCCACGGTGCTGCGGGGACGGCTCTACGCCATCGCTGGGTAAGCGGCTGCCCTGGGCTGGGGCTGGGGGGGAGATGCCCTGCAGGAGCTGAGGTGACTCTGCCCTGGTCCAGGCGGCCTCTCCCCCTATTTCCATTCCAAGCTTTATGAGGGGACGCAGCCCAGAGGGACCGTGCCCAGCGTGAACAGGCACTGTGCTGGCCCAGCGCCGAGACTGGCAGGAGGGCAGCAGCAGACAGCAAAAGGGAGCCTGATGCAGCGGTTTCATTTCAGGCTTTTTCTATACACAGCTGTCCAGCCTCCCAGGAAGGGCTCTGAATGCCTCAGCCTCTTCCTTCTGCAGCATCCCTCACCTGTAACCTTCTGGCCTTGCAGGTACGATGGCAACTCACTGCTGAGCAGCATTGAGTGCTACGATCCCATCATTGACAACTGGGAAGTGGTGACCTCCCTGGGGATGCAGCGCTGTGACGCTGGAGTCTGCGTCCTTCGGGAGAAGTGATCTGGAGGGACCTTGGCAAGAACATGCTGAAAAGTCTCGGCTGGAGGAAGAGTCCAAAGTGGTTTGCAGTGACTGTTGTTGAGAGTCGTGGATGCTGTGGAAATAAGCACCAGACCAGCAGCTTTCTGTGCTGCTTTTGACTAGAGCATGTGCATAAACGTGTTATCTCAGCAGTCATTCAAAATCGGGGGCTCTGTGAAGGTTGTGAAGCAGGTCAGGAGAAGCTGCGCTCTCTGCTGTTCCTGTGGCTAAGTCTATTGGCAGAGCAGAGATGCCCCCAGCCTTGGTGTCAGCCAACCTCGTGAATTGCTTCCAAGGATGTGTACATACAACTGGGTGGTCTCTTCAGCCACTGCAGTACCACACAGGTCCTGTGGTTGCTTTTGGCCGTGTGGATGTGTGAGGGTGAACCCAGCTGCTCTTATGTTTTGGCTACAAATCATCTTGTACATACTGAATGTTTAAACATTGCTCCTCAAGCGCACATCAGTGCAGAGCCAAATTGAGCGAGCGTGTATAAGTGGGTCCTGCACTGTAGCTACGTCTGCAGGTTCCTCACAGGTCTGCACACAGGAGTTGCAGATTTAAGCTGTGAACTACTGAGACCCAGAAGCCCTTGGCTGCAGGGGACAGAGGGCAGGGAGAAAGCTCATTGCCTGGTGTAGGAGCAGGTCTGCAGCGTTTGTGCTCTGATCGGGGGCTCAGCAAGGTTCAGCACATCTCACTTCCCCCCAAAAAGCTTGACAGCAGCTGCAAAGAGCTGCGTTTCCTGGCAGTAGGAGCCTTGCTGTGCTGTGGCAGTGCCTTTGCTCCCACCCCTATGGGGAGGTCACCTTGGAGAGGTCAAGGCCCTGAAAGCAGGGACACGATCGCTGCTGTCGCGTGGATTTTGCTGGTGGGTGAGCGAGTGGGGTTTGCCTGCGGACAGACGTGTCCAGCACATCCCCATCAGCCTCTCAATCCAGTTCATGGTGTGGATTTTCCTTTCATGTAGGATTGTTCTGCTTCCAGGGCTGTTGTGGGGTGACATCCAGGACTCCCTCCTGCCCTTTGTTCTCAGCTCTTTATCCCCCTGCCTTGGAACTCCGCACCCTCTTACAGGAGCTGTCCTTCGCCTGCCCCGAGTGAGAGCTTCGCCGGAGCCCTCCCTCCTCAGCATGTCCCCTGCCTTGCTGCGTTTCTGGGAGCACGGGCTCCGTGTAGTGCTGCTCGTTGAGCTTACTGCCGACTCCTCGCCTGGGGGACAGGGTGGGATCAGGGACGTGGTAGCATGACTCCATGAAGCACTTTCAGGCACTGCTCTGCCCTTCTGCGTTTGTTTCTCTCCCACCCGTGTTCCGTGGTTTGGTTTCCTATGTTTATTTTTTAATGAAGATATAAAGAATAAAATATTTCCTGAGCCAGTGGGAATTCAGCTTCTGTTCTCTGCCTTCAAGCCCTTTGTGTCGCTGCTGGGTGGAGGGTGTACAAACCCCATGGTAGATCAGGCAGCTGTACCAACACTGCAGCTTCAGCGTGAGAAGTAAAAACAGCTCCATCTGTGGGGAGCCACAGCACAAAACCCATCCGGCCTGGACCACCTCCGATAGGGTGGGTTTGTTGCAGGGTCCGCTTGGGAAGAGGGTGGCAGCAGAGAAAAGACTTATAACAGTCTACAGTGATAACTGGTTAACTGTGCTAATATGAGCCAGTGCATCCTGGCCTGAACCAGCACCAGTGCGGCAGCAGGGCCAGGGCAGGGATTGTGCCCCTGTGCTGGGCACTGGTGAGGCCGCACCTCGAATCCTGTGTTCAGCTCTGGGCCCCTCACTGCAGGAGAGACATTGAGGTGCTGGAGCGGGGCCAGAGAAGGGAACGCAGCTGGTGCAGGGCCTGGAGCACAAGTGTGATGGGGAAGGGCTGAGGGACCTGGGGGGTTCAGGCTGGAGAAGAGAAGGCTCAGGGGGGACCTGATGGCTGCCTACAAGTGCCTGAGAGGAGGATGGAGCCAGGAGGGGCTGGGCTCTGCTCCCAAGGAACAAGGGATGGGACAAGAGGAAGCGGCCTCAGGCTGAGGGCGGTAACGAGGTGCGGCTGCAGCAGGACCCAGGGCAGGACAGAGCCGCCCCGCAGCCACCCGCGCCCCGGATCAGCGCCGCGGGACGCACCCGACCCGCAGCCGAGCCCCGGCCACCGCGCAGGCGCACGGCGCCCCCTGACGCCACTGGCCACGCCCCTCGGGTGGCGGCGGCGGCACGCAGCGCGCCTGCGCGGCGATGGCGGCGGCCTGTGCCGGGATGGAGGCGGCGGCAGCAGCAGCAACGGCGGTGCCTCCTCCCTCACCTCCTCCTTCTGCCGCCGCCGCCCCGGGCTTGTCCGAGCTGGTGTGCGCGCAGGGCCGGAACGTGAAGGCGGTGCTGTGCCAGCGCTGCGGGTCCCGGGTGCTGCTGCCCGGCGCCGCCACCTTCGCCCGCCGTGAGGTACCGGGGCGCGGAGGGCCGGGGTGGTGAGGGCGCCCCCTGCGGGCGGGGCGGTGAGCTGACGCTTTGTCTCCCGCAGCTGCTCCTGCCCGCCATGAGGAAGAAGGCGGCGGCGGCGGCGGCGGGGGGCGGCGGGGACGTGGTGCGGGAGCACTGGCTGGTGCGGGACATGTTCTCCTTCGAGAACGTGGGCTTCACCCGCGACGTGGGCAACGTCAAGTTCCTGGTGTGCGCCGACTGCGAGGCGGGGCCCATCGGCTGGCACTGCCTCGACGACAAGGACAGCTTCTACGTGGCGCTGGAGCGTGTGGCCCACGAGTGACAGCGGCGCTGCCCGCGGGCGGGGACGGGGACGGCTGGACCCGGGCACCCGCTCGGCAGCGGCAGGGCCCTGCAGACTGACCGCGGCGGCCGAGCCCAGCCGCCTGCCCGCACCCCCAGGCACAGCCCGGAGCCCCCCGGCGCCGATGGAGAGCCGCGGGGACGCCTCACCGTGACACTTGCCAGGTTGATCGGCCTGCCCTTGGTCACCTCTGCCTTGTGCGGCCGCTGTTTCCCAAACGTGCTGGGATGGGTTTGTGACACAGCCGTGGAAATGTGGGCGCCGGCGCAAGGACAAGGGGAGGACAGGACTGCTGCGTCGGGGCGGCTCTGCAGCCAAAGCACTTCCCAGGGTTAGGGCTGTATCTTCTGTTCATTCGCAGAAGAAATGTCCCCTGCCCTGAACCGCAACGTTTAGGTTCTCTAAAGCCTCATCCTGCCTGATAGCTGTACTCTGTAATAGCGTATGGCACCTAAAGAGTGTGTAATGCATTGTAACTAACACTGTATGCAGCTCTGTTAACTGAGACCTTGGGAATAACATACAAGTAGTTTACAGACATAAAATGTGCAACGTCATCATGTTTCCCGGCAGCAGGAATGAAGGGATTCCAGCCTGAAAAGGATTTGAATCATTGGACAAGCAGTGCCCAGTGACTGCATGTCGTAGTGCTGAAGAATGACAAAACAGCTCGTTAAACAGAGAACCTGGGAGGGGATTTCTCTTCTGTAAACCAGCCGTAGGAGCAGTGCTGGGGTGTTGTGTCCAGTTCTGGTCTCTGCCTTTTAATAGGGACACAAAGCTAATTGCAGATCGAAGGAGGCTGAAGGAGCCATGGTTCTCACTGTATTTATCTTTTGGTGACTGTGGTCCATTCTCCATTTGTGGTCCCTCCCCCCATGTGAATAATGCAGGAGCTTCCCAGTGATCGCCCTGAGTCAGGCCATGCCGTACTGCAGGAGGTGCAGCAGTACCCTGTTCAATAAACACTGTCAGTACCAATGCCACTGTAGAGGCACAGCTGTCATTGCGCTGGGATGGTGAAGTCGTTCTTGTCCCCAGAATGGAGAATGGTTGTACTTAAAGATTAACAGTGTTGTTGGCACAGGGCTGTGGCATCAGCCTTTTCACTCCACAACTCAGCTTTGCTGGCAGGGGTCTGTAAGGCAGGCGCAGCCCCAGGTAGGTTTTCCAGACAGGCATCTGCAGGGCGGGTGAGGGAGAAATGAATCCTTCCTTCTCCCAGTGCACTTGGAAGTTAATGCCTTAATGCAGAACCCCAGGATGCTGGCTGTTCTGGAGCCATGCTGTGGGCAGGGGAGGAAGAGAGGTAGCTCCATAGGGTGGAGACTGAGGCTGCCAGCTTGGGTCGGAGGCCCGTCCTGTGCTGTATCCTTACTAAACGTGTCACATGCACATTTGACATGAAAACCGTGCTGCTTTCCTCCTGCCCTCCTTGTCCTTATCCCTAAGCCCAGTAACTGAACATACCCATTAAGGACATGTACATACAAGGGCCGGAGAGCTTCCTTTGGGTTCTGCACAGGCACAGCGAAACAGGGGGATCACAATGCTTAAATTTCACATTTCACTTGGATTGTTGTGTGTTGGGGAAGGTTTTGACCTGTAGCACGTACATTATAGTGGTACTCATGTGAAGTGTGCTGCACAGTAGTTTCTGTTTGAAAACACCACTGTGCGGAAGAGGTTTGTGGGTATCGGCTTGATCAATGCTGAGTAAATGACACTTCTCAAACACATGGTACATGTGGATTCCTGGTACTGGGGAGCAGTCGATGGCACTGGGATGGAGCTGAGATGGTGGTGAAAGATCTTGGGTCACAGGCCTTCACATCATTACTGCCGATACTGGACTCTGGTGCAGTGATGGTGGGTAATGAAAATTCTTGCCCTTCAGTGAGCAGGTGTGCTGGATGGATGCATCCTCCACTGGATCCAGGTTTGGGTTTTGCTGGCTCTTAAATATAAAGTAGGATCACACAGATGGTGGAAATGCCAAGAAGAAATGTACAGTCTGTTGGGAACCCATGGGAGGAAGCTTTTGTACTATGAGATCTTGGCATCTTTTAGTCTTGGGTAAGATCTTGGCTTCCTGCAGCTTGGAGAAGCCACGAGAGGCACCCGTGAAGTCCAAGTAGCATCAGCAGGGACCTGGTGCTGGTGAAGGAAGCTGCAGAGCTCTGCAGTTCAACTGCTGATGCTCAGGATCCCCCTCCTGAGTTAATCCGTATCCCAACAGTTGACTGAGAATTACGAGAGGAGGAAGGAAATGGCAGAGAGGAAAAAGGTGACATTAGTTGGTGGAATTCCAGCCCAGGCAATTCCGCTGGGATGTTACTGAGAGGCAGAATGTCTGCAGTCAGCAAACCATGCCTTGGGGGGGGGGGGGTGTGCTGTGTTTGTGCAACAGGCAACAAGGGGAGCATCTAATGAAGCCCTGAGCAGTTCTGGTGTTGTGACAGCTAATAAAAATCTAGATAGTCTTACACATCATCTTTTCACTGCTGCTTACCTACCTCCTGCCTCTTCTGTCTGTTCTTATCTAGTGTGTGAAGCTTTTCCAGCCGCCTGCAGAAAGGAGGCGAGAGCCAACCTTAAGGTATGGGAGGAGCTGAAACAAGACCTGTTAATGCTCATCTTGCAGCCCATCTTTCTTTAGCATCAACAAGAAGAAACCTTCATTTCCACGTGTAGGTTGCTTTAAAATGAATTTGAAACTGGGTTTTTTCCACAGAAGGAGTAGCATATACTCTACTGGCCCATTTGGTGCTGAGCTGTAGCACTGCCAAGAGGGAATAGCAACAGGCCTGCAGCCCTTGTGCAGTGTGATCCCGTCCCCAAGGTGGTGAGGGCTGTGCAGGGCAGGACACAAACCCTCCAGCCCTTGGGGCCTTGCCTCAAGGCTGCTTTTGGGAGGGGACCGATAGGACTGATTTTGGCTATTGCTTCCCAGCTGGGGTTTAAGACATGCCTGTTTGATTGCTTATAAATAGAAATGTATTTAGGATAGTTAAAAACAGATGTTGCTCCATTCTGACTCAGCTGTTGAGACTCATTCAGATCCCAAAACTATGGTCTGGGCTTAGGCTGGCATTAACACGTCTGACACCTTCACTTCCCTGCTCTCTTCTCTCCCCCATAACCCTTCAGAACCCTTTGCTGGGGCTGCTCAGTTTGCTCCTTTAGTCTAAAGCTGCTTTTCTTGGGCTGCTGGGTTGTGATTTGGAGAAAACTCCAGGAACAAACTCGCCAACGGAGTTTCAAGTTGACAAGCAGGTATTCTTTATTGCAGCACTGGGAGACACGGGGGAGAGCTCCTCCTAACGTGTGTCCCCGTGTTGCCATGCAGGCCATCCATGCTCACTGGGCATATTACATCATTTTCCAAGAGTTTCTGGCATGCATACAAAATGTGATGGTCCTTAAGGGTCGTTTACTTTTCCCAACAATCTTTATAACCAGCTTAATTAACTTTACAGACATGGCAATCATCCTGGCCGCCTACTTCTCAGTTAGTTTTGCTGTGCCCACCCTGGACATCTGCTAGTCCCAGATATTCCCCAGGTCCTGTTTTTCTGTTCTGCTTTTCTTACACCTTTTGTAC